TAGTGTTTTCAAATTTTTATGGAAATTATTTGAAGCAGTTTATAGCAGTTGGATTTAATAATTATGAAATTTTTTATGAAAACAATTTATAATTGAATTTAATAATTATGAAAATTATTTGAAATAGTTGGAGAGAATTGAAACAATTTAAAGTAATTACATATTGGTAGATATAGTTGAATTTAGCAATTGTAGTTTGAAAATAAAAATTCTATGACATCAACATCAACTCTGACATTTGCTTTACATAATAGTATTTATAGTGTATATATCAAGTTGGGTGATTAACCAAAAATACCTCAATGAGACATGCATATTTTTATTTTATGTTTTTTTGCTAGCAAGGAACCTCTTCAAAGCAAGGTCACTTTAGACTCTACACGTAATCACCACTAACCAAGTGCATTAGGTAAGTCTAGATGCATCACCAAGAATGATTGTCCAAAACGTCTTGAGAAATATGATTTGTAGTAAATAATTCTTTATATATTTATAATTACAATTATGTTGAACTTATAATATTATATTTGATTTTTTTTTTTTTTTTGTGAGGAATTAATACAATATTTGATTAAGTTTATATGCTGATTCATAATTTTTTGATTCCTTCAACGCATGAGAAAGAATTAAAATAATTAGAAGCCAGCTCAAGGATTTCTTCTAATAATGGCACTCTTTATAAATTCACAATGTTAAGCTATCAATCCTTCATGAATACATGATTAAAATGTTTACAAGTCATATTGTGATTTTATACTCTTAATGCCACATCACTTATTTTAAATATGAAACAATATCAAATATACAAAACTTTCATACAGAAAGCAGAATGGTGTGACAATAATTATTTTTTTTTTAATTTTTTTTTTCCAGTTAACAAAAATAGATAAGTCACATAATTTTATACAAAATTCTTTTGTGTAAAATAACCATGTCATTCTATATAAATTCTTGTATATAAAATTATATGTATATAAAAAATACCCTTTTACTTATTGCTCTTGTAAATGCACATAAATGTAATGATTTTTTTAATGCTTAATATATGAATCCTTAAAGATATTGAGTTTGTCATCTAGTGGCTTTGGGAGACATTGCTTTAATGATATCTACAAAGCATGCTTAAGACAAAGCACAAAGGAACATAAAATATTAATAATTAAAGATTAAGATTAGGTTATGGATTACTACTAATTGGGCCGAGCACATATCCTATTAAATTAATTCAAGAAAAAAAATTTGTTGTGCAGGGTCATGAGTACTTTAAAACGTTGTAGATTCGATTAATTTGTTGTTAATTACTCACGATGAATAAATTGATTAACTAGTGATAATAGGCCAATCACAAAGAACTAGAGTCTTCAACAGACAAAACGGGGATTAGAATTAAATATATTGGCTTGATTACAATAATAATAGTAGTTGTACGGTGTATTATTTTGCAGGTGCATTGTGATTCTCGTAACACGTAGTTTAAGATTTGTGTCGTGCTTAAGAAGAATAAACAGCTTATATCGCCATTAACTCTACATAGAGAAGTCATGTCAAATGGTTAATGATGATCGAAAAAATGAGTTTTTAAGATAAGAATAATGATATATATTGTGCCCTCATTTCATATCAAAATAATTCTTATTAGATCATCTCCAATCATTTACATTTTCTGTCGTCAAATTTAAATTTGATGAAAAAGTTCTAAAAAATCATCTCCAATCATTTTATCAAATGTTTATCAAATCAAGGGAGAGTCATTTTTTTTTTCCATCAAATTGATAATTCATCAAATTTAAATTTGATGAAAATTTAAAAAGATTAAGCATTAGAGATGATTTTTTTTTTCCTCATGAAATTTGATGAAATGGTCAATTTGGGATAAGAGAGGAATTTCTAAGAAGATTATGATGAAAATTATCTGATGAAATGATTAGACTAGTTCATATTAAATCAAGTTTTTTACTTAAATTTAGAATTAAATTAGATGAAAATTTTGATTAAGGATTAGAGGTGCTCTTATGGTTTATAATTTCAAAAATGTAATCTATTTGGTTCATTAGAATGAGATAGAATGAAATAATAATTCCATAGGCTAACTTATGGAATTACCATTATCTTAAAATAGTGAAAAACGATTTCATTTGTAATGTATTTATTATTATTTTCTTAGTCTAACCAAACATATGAATAAATATTTTAATAGAACGATCAATTTCATTTTATTTCATTCTAGTAAACCAAACACTATCTAATATTAAGAATTTTGGTATTAAAAAATGTGTGTAAATCATTTTTCTTAAAAATAATTATGGATGGGATCACATTCTTGATAGCATGCTTTGATTCCTTTAACAAAAGCTTAAAAACACCAAAATGGAAGAGAGAGAGAGAGAGAGAGAGTCCCAAGCCACATGCTTTCATGGGGGCCATCAAATCCCAGATGGGAACACCCCAAGAGAGCATGAGAAGATCCCAAAAAGCAATACAAAAAAGAAAGATGAGTTCTCTCTCAATCTTGATTCTCACTGTATTGCAACTAGTAGCCCTAAACCCCATAAAGAGGAGAATATAATATATATATTTTTATATATAAATAAAATAAATATATTAGTACATTTGCATGCTGGGTTACAGTTAGCTTTGCTTTAAAAGAACATTTCATGTCTTGGGCACTGCAAATGTTTTTGCTTTAACTTGTAGTAACACAAGGGACATGCATTAATTTTTCAGTTTACCAATTTTTTTTTTTTTAATAAAGGGTTACCCACCTTCCTAGAAGAATGCAGTGGATGTGTTAGTCGTGTATGCAGAATAAACCGAACCGGTCTGTTTAACTGGTTGAATAAAAAATTGAATTGTAGATTGGTTTAATCCTATTATATCATTATATCAAAAGTTCAAGTGAATCGCTTTGAATTGTATGAACCGGTTGGTTTTTTGAAGAACAAATTGAACTGTTTGCTTTAACCAGGCCGAGTCATATAAAATTGTTAAAGCTCTATTTGCAGTTAAAATTTTTGAAATTATAACTAATCAGAACTATTGGACAACAAGCACCAAAATAATAAATAAATAAAATAGACAACAAATAATTGCAAATCAGTGGTTTATTTCCCAAATTACAAAAGAATGAAATCTTGAAAATCAACGGCAAAGATGTGGAATGAAGATCATTTTGGGACAAAACTATCCCTTCATTTCCCACTGGAGTTGCAAAGAGAAAAATAAGAGAGACGAGGAAGAAACCAAGTAGGGGCATTTTTGTCCAATTTTCCCTATAAATCAGATTCCATTGATTTGCCATTGTTTTTCAATCTTTTGCAATTATTTTTAGAATAATGTTTGAGGGCCCGAAATTAGGGGCTCGAATTGGCTCAAAATCCAAGACGACGTCGTTTTGGGTTTTGATTTTTTTTTTTTCCTTCCTTTTCTTTTCTTCCTTTTCTTCCTTTTCTTTCTTCTTCTTTTTCGTTGAGTTGAACAGAGGCGAGAGAGAGAACACAGAGGTGAGAGAGACGTCATCACAGCTCATCGGCGTCCCAGCTCGTCGGCCGTCGGCGTCCCAGCTCGTTGGCCGATCTCGTAGCTCGTCGCTCGTCGCTCGTCGGCATCGCAGCCTTGCCTCCACCTCTGCCTCCGCCTCCGCCTGCCGCCGCCGCCGCCTCTGCCTCCCCCTCCACCTCCACCTCCACCTCCGCTCGATTTTGTTGGCCCCTCCAGTCCAGTTCTCCTCCTCCTCCTCCTTCTTCTTCTCCCTAATTTCGAGCCAAATTCGAGCCCCTATATTCGGGCTCTGTATCAAAACCCTTATTTTTATTCCTCCATTGATTTGCATTTTTTCTTTTTTTTGGTTCTTTCTACTTATTTCAAAAAAAAAAACAAAAACAAAAAATAAGTATCCACACAAATTGTTTGGTGTTCCTGAGTAAGACAACATTCATTCTCGGTATTGTTGGTGATATTTGGTAATCATACTGTTAATGCTTTTTGGCCAGGAAGACTAAGGCCTCGTTTGGTAATCTTCCGTTTTAATCAAAAAATTAAAAAATTATTGAAAGTTGTTATATTACTTTCTCTATTTTTTTACATATATTTTTTTTCATAAAAAGTCAAAAAATTATTAAAATAATACGTTTTCAAACAAGACCTAAATGTGAGAGACTATTATTTGATGTCTTATTGTGAAGATCACAAATATTAAAAATTAATATAATTAAACAATTTTGATGATTATGATCTTTTACAAAACGATCTCATATTTGAATTATTAAAATCTTAATTTTTTTTTGAGTCATTTCAAAATTAATGCAACTATGGAAATTTTGTATAAACATAGATCTTGATTTTTAAAAATAAGATAAAGAAAATATTGCAAATTTACTAATAATAATAAACTGAAATAAAACTCAACCTGTTAATTTTATACTTAAATCACATGGGATCTTTTATCCCCATCTCTAAGGACGGAATTAGGAGAAAACTTTGGCCATGACCCCCATGTTTCTATGAAAATTATTATTTATCATAGAACTTTAAATATATATATATATAGATATATCATTTTATACATAATATGACCCTCCTAATATGAAAAAATATATATGTCATTCTTTTTTCATCTTAAATTCTCTTTCTATTTTACATCAAAAAAATTTCTTCATCTTATTAGAAATTACTTTTATATATGGTATTTAATTTTTTTTTATGTACATATAATTTATATGTATCAAATTATATATACATGTGTGTTTTGTGTATACGGTGAAAAAATTTATTTTTCTTTTAACTCTCCCGATAATAAAATTCTGATTCCGTCCGTACCCATCTCCCTATTTGAAATGATCTCAATCTCAATCAAACTGTGAATCGTTTTATTTTGATTATATAATAGAAAGATAATTTGAAATTGGTGAGACGGAATAAAAGATCTGATCTAATCTAAACTTCCGTTGGGGAGAGAGAGAGATTGATTGATTGGATGACAAAATTACAAATAATCACAAGCAACCATTTGACATTCTTGAACATATAATATTACAAAACTGTGTGAGATAATTGTGAAAATATACATTACATGCACATGATATGAGAGAGAAAAACAATTGGCCACTAACTAAATCCTAAAATTAGCATAAGGTTACATGCCAAACATTTTTGGCAAAACAGTTGGGCAAGGCCACATGGGGGTTAGCATATATATAACTAAGTGGGAACTTAATTATAACAAAAAATATATATAAAAATATCCTAGTTCCTATAAATTACCAATGCAACAATGGATATTTTGGCCACATCAATGCAAACAAAAAAAAAGATATTAATATATATGCACTCACACACAGAGGATAGGTACGTCTAGGGATGATATTGATCAGGGCCGTTGATCAGGATCAATCAAGGCGTCGAAAGACAATTGGTGCACCGTGTTGTGGGTAAAGGAGCATCAAGACCGTTGGTGCATGCTGATAATGCGGGGACAATGTGAAGGAGAAGCGTTGCAGTATGATGGTTAGGGTTAGCTTGGCTTGTAGGATAGCAAGGTTTTGGCCGATGCAAGTACGGAATCCAAGCCCAAATGGAATGAATGCCACAGGATGCTTGGCGGCACGGGCCACCCCACCGGCGAATCGAGCGGGGTTGAATTCATTGACATCGTTGCCCCATATGGCTTGATCATGATGAACGGCTATGATTGGTATCAACAGCTCGGTCCCACTGGGGATCTTGCATCCCCCAAGCTCCACATCAGTTTTTGTCCGTCTGATTGTTGCCACGATTGGTGGGTATAGTCGTAGGGCTTCATTGAGAATCATGCTCAGCTGTACACCAAATCATAATAGTATATGTTAGAATTGTAACGTGCTAAAATTACCAAATACAAAAAAAAAATCAGTAAATTATTATTGTCTTGTAGATTTGATAAAATACTATATATACATACACCTAGAAGGGAGAGAATGCAGAAAAAAATAAATGGAGAAAAAAAACAAAATTTCCCCTATTTTGAGGAAAAAATTAATGTTTTTTAATAATTCAGTTGGTTAATTGTCCCCCACTTCTCCCTACCAAACATCCTTGGTTCCTATTATATTTTTTTCAAATTTGCACCATACAGAGGCAATTTTTAGTACCATAAAAATTTAAAATTGACCAAATTACCCCCACCAAAGAACTTGTTCTGACTAGAAATAGAAACTCTTACTTTTTGACTTTTTACTCAAATGGAATTGGAAAAAATTTTAAATACAGAATGTATAGATGTGACACATATACAAATATAAATATTTTTTTATCTCATATCTATACATTTTGTACTTGAAACTTTCTGTATTCCTAGCAATAATAAGTGGATTAATGCAAGTACCATGCTATTTCTTACCAACATATCAAGGGTATTTTGGTTATTTCAAACCAAAGACAACAAAAGTGGCATAATTTTTGTCCTAATAAACATAAAGCTTACCATCTTAAGCTTCACAATGTCATCTTTGGAGGGTATGTCATGTGATCCACACACTTTGATCACCTCCTCACGTGCCTGTACTTGCCATTGAGGGTGCATAGCTAGCAAAACTGTCGTCCACGTCAACAAATTCGACGTCGTTTGCTCTCCCGCAAAGAAAAAGCTCTTACATTCCTCTGCAATGTCACGGACTGTGATTTTTGATGATGGAGAGGAATTCAATTCCCCTCTCTTGTTTGGCAATTCCTTTGTGCTTGCTTGGATCATGAGCCCTAACAAATCTTTAGGACCATTTTCTTGCGTTTCATTGCTTGAATTCTCTCTCCTTTTGTCAATTAGATTCACCAGAGATTTCTTGATTTCCTTCTCCAATTTCCAAGACTTCATGTTCCTTTTTGTGGGAAGGAATCTAAAGGCCAAAAAAAAAGAAAGAAGAGGAATTCAATATCAAAAATTTCATTACTAGTAATAAGATTCACATGACAATGCTGTTCGAGTTATTGAAGTGTAGTTCTTATTTTCAAAAAAATGTAAATCATATGGATCAATTACCTATAACCAGGAATGAAAACTTTCTGAAATGCCTCAGATGCAAGGGCCATTTGTTCAGCTTGTAGTCTAAAAATGGCTTTTCCATCTTCATGGCTACTACCAAATGCTGTTCGAGTTATTATATCTTCTGTCAATGTTTGGAACCATTCGGACACTTCAATTTCCACCTCACCCGCACCCGACTTTGCCATCCATTTCTCCAACATTTCAATCACACTCTTTGCAGCCACTGGTATCAACAGCTAAAAAAAGAAAATTGCTATAAATAAACTTTTTTTTTTTTTTCTTTTTGTAAAAACTCTAGCACATCAAGAAAATGCTAAAATGAGGTATTAGCATTTTTTTCTCTAAAAAAATAAAAAAAATAAAAAAACAAAGAAATTTTTTATTTTTATTTTTATTTTTAAATTTGAACTTACTTTGAGATTTTCCATGTGGAAGGTGGGAGTGATGATTTTTCTATGGTGAGCCCATTTTTCACCCTTGAGGCTAAGGAGTCCATCACCTTCAAGCTGTTTGATAAGTGGATGAGCCTCATTCTTCTCATATAATTCAGACTTGGAGGTGAAGACTTCTCGAATGAGGTCAGGATCCGCGACAGTGAGCCGGACTGTGGGCCCGAACCACACTATAAATGTAGCACCTGTGATCAAGCACAACCACAATGTGTCACAACTAATATAATTAAATTCTAGAAAAAATTTTTTTTAAGGGAAAGAGAGGCTCTTGCACTAAGTAGCAAAATGCCACAGAGCTTCAAGTAGTAAAAGTGTCAAGTTAGCGAAAAAGAGGTATGAGAAGGAAACACGACAGCCACTAATTCACAGAGAGAGAGAGAGAGAGAGAGAGAGAGAAGGGGGGAGGGGGAGAGAAAAGGAAGAAGACAATTCAAAACTAAAACCACTACGCAACACATACTACTTCATTATCAAAATTCAAAGGACCCGCCACAACTACCAAAAAAGAATGATAAGGAAATCAAAACAGGAAATGAAAACTCCAAGACAATGTAGTTTTAAAAAAATCAGAGCATCTTTGCATATATATATTGATTGGGAAAGTACAATTGAAAAAAAAAAAAAAAAACTAGTAATCTATATGATTATTGGACAAGGAAAAAAAAATTGTCACTAAAGAGAAGGGGTAGAATTGGAATATGAAAGAAGAGAGGGGAGGTGAAAAAGAAAAAGAGTGGAACAGTCTGAAGTTTGATGGAAGTTCAACATCAAGAATCCAAACTGAGAAAAAGGGTTGAAAGATCTTTAAAAAAGAAGTGCCCAAACACAAATATAAGCCTTTGAAAAGTCATGAATGGTAAAAGGACTTAGTAGAGCAAGCTTGGAAACATCATATCAAAAAAGCATACTACCCACATGTACAATCAATAAAGAGGTCATGAACTTAACTCTCATGAAAAAACAAAAAAAACACCTAAAATGATATATAGTACATAGCTTGAATCATTGCAAGACATTTACATCAACTCTAGCTATAAGATGATTAAAAAGAAAAAAAAAAGAAAAAAGAAAGAAGTAAGACAATAGCATCAAAACTCAACTAAATAAGCCTCATGATGTTAGTTCAATTGACCAGAACTCAACATCTCTCATGGATGTTAAGAGTTTGATTCTTGCATCTCCTTTCTTAGTCACCAGCATCTAATTTTCAAATCAATTTTTAAAAAAGTGTACAAGATATAATTAAGATTTTAAATATCAGCCGATGCATTTCAGAACTTTGAATTGCCAATACTAATATGAACTAACATATCAGCTGATATTGGCAGAACCGTAAGGCTGCTATTGATACATATTCCAATACTACCATGGATATAACAAAGAAAGAGAGAGTTACCATAGATTTTTTTCCAGTGGTGATAGAAGGAGAGGACTCTAGGGAGGATGTTGTGAGAGAAAGGCATGGGATGAGAAGAGGCCTTCAACATGAGAGTGCAAAGTTCCTTAGCATTGCCAATGAAGAAGCGATAGGGAGGTCCTCTTATGCCTTGCTTTGAGAAATGGTGTTCAATCTTTCTTGGTCTCCACCATAGCACCACCACAACTTTCAACACAAACACCATCACCATGAAAGTGATCATCATTAGCTTCAACAAGTACAACACTAGCTCTTCCATAGCTGCTTCTTGTATTTGTTGTTGTTTTGATCAGCTTTTCTCTCTCTCTCTCTCTCCTTGTGTTATGTTGGAGCAGCTTTTCTTTTGTGTGCTTTTCTTTCTTATCTTGTTTGGTATATGTTTGTTACTTGTTAGTGTCTTCTCTTTTTAATACCAACAAATTTAGAGAGAGAGAGAGAGAGAGAGAGAGAGGGGAGGACTTGGCCACCGGCGTAGGGGCCGCCATTGGAATTATAAGGGTCAACGAATGATATAATTTTTTAATCTTTTAATTCTTTTAAGACAATGTTACCCATGTCTTTTCTCACTAGTAACATTATGACCCTTGAATCTAATTTGGCTTTTGTCCGTTGATAAGAATATGGGAGAATTCCCTCTCCAAACTGCTTACAATTTGAATTTATAGTGTAGATTTAAGGCTGGTTTGGTGTAGATTTAAGGGTTGTTTGGTGCAGATTTTAACAAGTTAAAAATTGATGAACTACTTATTTCTCATAACATGTAAGCAAAATATACACTAAACACTTCGATATAAATTTCTAAAATAAAAAAATTTATAAACAATTCCACAAATTGCACCTAACAACCCCTTAAACTTGGTATGATGCGAGAATAATCAAAGTAGATATGATTTCCACAATTTAAATTTTACACAATGTTTTAGAATTTTTTTTAATACATAATATTACTGTTCGCTTTCTAGTGTAAAATTTTGATTATTATTCCTTTCATTCAATTCATTATTTCTAAAAATCTACCTTGAAAATATACAATTTCCGAAACAAATAGACTAAAAAGTCTTGAAAGTAAGGACACTCAGCTATGCGAAAATAACATATAGAAGATTTGTTTAATGTAATTTTTATAAATTAAATGTTGATAATAAAAAAAAATAGAAAAGCAACCTTTCTATAGCTATCATATGATATTTTTTTAATTTATTTAAATTATTTCTATCTAATAAATTATAAATAAAAATTATATATATATAATTTAAATAAATTACACCAAACAATTTAAAACCCGTAAACATAGATTTAGGTGCAAGGATATTTTCGTCTCGTAGAACAATGTCAAATTTATGGCATGATTGGATGATAACAGATGGGCATGAGATGTACATTATTTGTTTCAAATATAAAAAAAAAAAATACTTTACTCTACTACATATATATTTTATAAGATGGTTGTTATGTGATGGAAAATTTTCAACCGTTATTTTATCACCCAATAATATTAGCCTGACTTTAAGTGCCACTTCTGTTACGACATGTGGTGTTTTTCAATAGTTATTTTTTGGTCCAATAAAATTGAATAATACTATACACATTAATTAATATATTAACAAATGATATAGCATAATTTTAAAAGTTTTAGATATTTGTAATTTGTATAATAGGTAGAATTAGTAATAATGACATAAAACTAATTGATACATTAATATATACATTAATTGATGCATGTAACACTACCGAATAAAATTGAGATGTCTTTCCATTGTTATTTCATATGACACTGATTACATGTATCATTTAAGATTTATTAAATGATATTATAAGTATTATGTGAGATAATATATCATATCTACAGTCTATGCCGTAAATGGAGTCCCTAAAATAAAGAAGAAATTACAATTCAATGAAAATTTAGAGAAAAAAAATATATAAATTAGTGGTAAATTTTATAAATATTAATAATTAAAATATTAAATTTTTTTTTATGTATATGTAAATATTTTTTCAAAAGATCGCTAAATTATAATTTCTTCTAAAATCAATAGTTTCACCTTCGCCAAGTAAATATACAATTAAGAGGTGAAAATACAAATAATGTTAGAACATTTTCATAATATATAAATATATAATATAGTTATATTAATGATTAAAGAGATGCAACTTTTGAATTTAAACCAAAGGGTGTAACCATTGAGTTTAAACAAAAATGTTGTATTTTTTGGATTTAAACCATGGGGTGTATTGGATTTAAACCAAAAGATATGACTCTTGAATTTAGAGGATGTCACTTTTGAATTTAAAAGGGGTAAATTACACTTTGCACCCCTGCAGTTTACACAAAATCTCATTTTAATCCCTACACATCAAATTGTGTCACTTAACCCCCTGCACTTTTGGTCAAGTGTCACATTGGCCCTTCTGTTAATAGTGAGGCTAACAGAAGTTATCATTTAGGGAGCTAAGTGTCACAATTTTGATGCGTAGGGACTAAAGTGGGATTTTGTTAAAATGCACGGGTGCAAAGTGTAATTTATCCTCACATGTTTTTCATGTGACTAACCTCTGTTAACAATAAGGCTAACAGAAGGGCCAAAGTGACATTTAACCAAAAATGCAAGGGATTAAGTGTCACAATTTGATGTGTAGGGGCCAAAGTGGGATTTGATGTAATGCAAAATGTAATTTACCCATTTAAAAGACACGACTTTTGGTCTAAAGGACACAAACCCAAAGGACACGTAGTCAGGGTCGAGTTAAAAAATCCAAGGGTTCCATTTTCCTTTTGTTCATCAATCGGAAATCAAGACCAACCGAGCACTACAGTGAGACGTGAAAACACCCAATCCCATTCCGACCTCGATATGTGGAATCGTCTTGCGCCATATGTATTGAGATTGTTTGGGAGACATGGTCCAAGCCCAGTGAAGAAATGAAAATTTCAAAGATTTTGCTCGTGAGCGTGATGGTATAAGCCTACCTGATTGTGCTATAACGTAAGTAACTCAGTGCTCTCCTTAATTGGAAATGAAAGAAAGAAAAAAAAGAAAATGTTTGGATCCTCCCACATGTTAAATCTTGTTTTCATATTACAAATTTTCCTTATAAAGGCAAAACGGGTTGAAAATTGGATAGAAATCATCCATATGAAATCTATGGAATTTCTCTCCAACATTCATATTGTTATTTTCCTCTATACTTGGTAGATTAGAAAAATTCAAAAGTATTCGGGATCTAATTTCGTTTATGCATGACGCAGTCAGACATTAGTTTTTAGACTGGACTTCGTTGTATCCTAGAGGCGTATTCGTGGGTGTACACCATATTCGACAGAATTGGTAGGGGTAAATATTGTCTTAAGGAAAGCGACGTTGTAACGCGCTTTGAAGCAATACTAATTATTTCTATTTTATCTCCTTCCATCACATTTATCAACTTTTGCACCAACAATCTTAAGACAATATCCCGAAAAGATGGATAGGATTAATATTTCTTTGAAAATATTAGAAACAACTAAAAGATAGACTGTTAATTCCAATTTGGTGTTTGACCGTCAAATTACGATCAAGGTGATAAAATAGTTTGTTTCAATTTATTATTGGCAAAGGTATGTCTTAATTCTTTACTTGTGATTTTTATTTGAGGACCATGCATGTAATTTGAACATCAGATAAGTTCATAATTGGTATGAAAACTATATTTGCTTATAATTGTCATTCAATGTAAATACTTTATTTCTTCAATGTTAGAATATCTATGGTATTAGATTTGATAGTTAACATGTGTGATTATATTTAATTTTTTGTATTGTTGTTTCATGTGGACAAAATACAAACTAGAATTTATTAGTTTTGGTTGTCATTGTTAGTAATAATTATCATGATTTCTATACTATTACTTTTATGGTTTGTGTTTTTGCAAAGTATTGTGGTACAAAAATTATGCAGGTTTCTTTGCAAATTGAATTTTGCAAAGACAAAGTTAATTCCATTGATGGCTATTGAAGAGAATACAGATCCTAAAGATCTTGTGTAACTGTTTTCTGTTACAACTCAGCTTGAGTTAGTATGTAGTTATATTAGAGTTAGTTAATCATAACAGTTATAGTTAGTGCTAGTCCTGTACTACATAAACAATTGTATTACTGATTTCATAATTCAATAAAAGGAAAATATAGTTTCTTTCTACATGGTATCAGAGCAGTGAATGCTCCTACGAGCTTTGATTCTCTCTCATGGCTGAGTTACCTTCAAACCTACCTTCCATTGTTGATTATTTGTTACCTTCAAATCTGAATCTCTTGATTTCTAATCTCAGTTCGTTTGTCACTGTTAAACTTGATTCCACAAATTTTTTGATTTGGAAAATCAATTTCAAAACATTCTTAGGGCTACAAATTTGCTAGGGTTTGTTGATGGATCTTCGTTGTGTCCAGAAATTAAGGCTCAAGATGCAATTGGAAAGGAGGTATTCGATCCTAAGTATCTTCGTTGGCAATCAATCGATGCTCACCTTCTCAGCTGTATCACCGCTACGTTATCTCCCTCAATCTTTTCATCAGTTCTTCATCTCCATTCTTGCTCTGAAATCTGGAACGCTCTTGATAAACGGTTTACTTCTCTTTCACGATCCCATATCCACCAATTGAAGAACAAATTGAACTCCATTAGCAAGAAATCAGATTCAATGGAGCAATACTTGAATCGCATTAAGGACATTGTTGATCAATTGCATCTGGCAACTGCTTCGATTGATGATGAGGACATTGTTTTGATTACCTTAAACGGTTTGCCCTCTGAATATGATTCCTTCAAAACTGCAGTTCGAGCTCGTTCTGAGAGTATATCCATGGAGAAATTATCTTCCTTGCTCTGTTCTGAGGCAATACATGTTGAGAGTAAGGTAACTTCCTCTGATCTTACTGTTACTTATGCTGCTTTCAAAGGTCCTTCTCCAAGTTCATCTTTTCTATCTCCTCGCGGGCGTTTTGCTTCCACTCAGAGGGGCAGAGGTTCTTCTTATCGTAGTGAATCGTGCTTCTATAAGCCTGGTCGTGGTTCATTCCGTGGTCGATCTCCCAATCGTGGTCGAGCTTCCTATGGTTCTTCTTGTCAAATTTGTGGCAAATCTGGTCATAGTGCCTTTGACTGTTGGCATCGGCTTGATCCTGGCTATCAACCTCCTGATTTCTCCTCCTCTGCTTCACAGTCACAGGGGCCAAGTTCTAGGGCTTTTGTTTCTACTTCTGAGTATGGTCATGGTGCTTCCTCACAGTCTCCTATCTCTCCTTGGTTTCTTGATTCTGCGGCTATAGACAATATTACTAATGATCTCAACAATCTGAGTGTCTACCATCCTTACTCAGGACC